CACCGTGTTGAATCAGGTCATCGGTCTGATCAGGTCAATCATCAAATTTATGATAACAGCTTGGTAAAGACATTATTTTGAAGTTCTAATAACGAACAAATGTTAGTTAATAAATATTTAATAGTTTTTAGCTTATTATAGCAAATGTCCAATTACGTACGTATTTGGTTTATTATTAGCTTTACAAATTGTGTAAAGCTATATTAATATCGAGCGGGGAATGTTTCCTCATTCTTCAAATAAAGAGTAACTTTTACGCTACACTTTCGATTAAAACAATTTAGAACTACAACTATTATCAATTTCTAAAAAACTTGAATAATTTGCGTGTTGAAATTTTTGCCACATGTGAAAATATTACTCAAAGAATTTATTTTATTTGGCTATTCCACATTGTATCAGATATTAGTAGTAGTCTACTAATATCTGATTGTATCTACTTGCACCTCCCATTTATTAATTGCCCACCTTCTGAAGTTAACGGCCTAAGTATTATCGAAGCTAATGGTATGAATTTATTAATTTCACTTGACTTGCACAATCTAACACGTCTTATAATATCCTACAACTATTTCTTTCGAATCAATTATTAAGAATACTCATATAAAATTATTATTACACAGAAGTTTACTTATAAATTATATTTGTGATGTATGTATAAATTATAATAAAAACATTAAAAAGTTGATTTGTATAATATGATGTTTAATACCTAACGGGTTTCTCTTCAACATGCGAGGGCGTATCCAGCTTTCAAGTCAGGAGGAGGTCATGTAGTAGTGATTCAGGCAGGACAGACTTCATTTCAATTACAATAATAAATGTAATTAAAAAATGTTGTATCGTTAATTGTCGATGTAATTTTAATCAAATTACAAAATAATTTTTTTTATAATGTCTTCTCACAAAACGAGTTATGACTTCCTCCACTTGACCAATGGGTATAGTTTTCCGCACGTGGATATGTGCCAATTCAGTTAAGCGTTCTTCCGCTATTGAAGCTCGGCTAAAAACTGATCTCGAAAACAATATTTTAAAAAATTCGAGTAAAAGCTGATCCGAGAACTCCTGCAAGGCGGTTTGGCAGCAAGCATCCGGAGTTTAATGGCTGAAGAAACCGCGAAGGCGTTCAAAACAGCGATTTTCGAGGAACGCACTAGAGTGGCGCATGCAGGTGAGCTCGTTCCGAGCAGTAATACACTCGCTTTGAAAAGTCTTGCACCCCTCTAGTTATTTGGACAACGGCAGAATGAATTTAATTTCAACGAATTATCAGTTATAAAAAGAAAATTACAGTCCGGATGCAAACATTTTTAAAAGAAAAAAATTCAATTTCTAACGAACAACTCAAAATAAAAAATTCAACAACATAGTTAATATTCAGTATTTGAGCCTCTACTTCTTAACAACGCATTCACACGTCTATCCATTCCAATAATCAAATTATGATTACTTCCTAAGGGATATTTTCCCATTCCTCTGTAGCAGCAATAATAAGTTCTTGGGCATTTATTGGAGGATTATTCCAATTGAAAATCGCTCTTGACACATAATCCCAAACGTGTTCGATGGGATTCATGTCAGGTGACAAAGCCGGCCAATCTAATCTTGCAATGTTTCGGTTTTCTAATACTTCTTGAACAGCTCTGGCCTGGCATTGTCATCCATAAAGATGAACGGTCCCCTAATTCATTACATAGGGGTATAATTCTATCAAAGATTACATTTGCAAGGTACCTCGCCCGATATGTGAATAAGTGGGGTCCTTCTATTGAACATAATACCCCCCCCCCCAAAAAAAAACATTTGTGCTCCACCGCGATATGGAGCAACTGCAACGGCTGTATAAAGCCTATTTCGGCGTCCTGCTTCTCTCCAAACTCCTACTCGGTGATCATCGCTCACCATCCAAACCACGATTCATCGGTAAAGAGCATCTTTCACCACTCTCCCAATCGCCAGTTTTGATGATTTCGTGCCCATTCTAAACGGGCCCTTCGGTGGCGATGAGTTAACAAAGGAACTCTTGAAGGCCTTCTAGACCGCAATCCTGATTGTAAAAGTCTTTTGCGGATGGTAGCACTGGATATCACACGGATATACGTTCTCTGGAACTGAGATCTTAGTGCCAGTAGGGTGACTGAGGGCTCTCTACGCGCTGATACGGACTCTATGGGACATATAGCGTTCTTCTCATATCGTGGTAACGTGAGGACGACCACTTCGAGGTCTGCTGCTCACTTGACCAGTCTCTTAATAGCGCCTAATTGTTGCCTGCTAACTGTGCTTCTAAGAAAGTTGAGTCTAGTGGGAATATTGTGCCTAAATAAACTTTCTTTCAAGGTGCAACTTTTGCAGCATCACAATTTTAAAGGGGTTAACAATTTTTTTTTGAAATTCCAACAGTTCCTTGACTTGTAAACAAGCATGTTTTATTTACCAATAAAACAATTTTGTATAAATTAAACGTATGTAATAAATACAGCGGGGTGCAAGACTTTTGAAAGTGAGTGTAGTAGCTATAGATCGTCGCGATGTATGGTGTGCCGTGGTCTCGCAGGGGCTAGAACAAGAGCCGAAATTTTGGAGCTATTTGACCCAGACAGCAAGGATTGTCATGTCCATCGATGGCTGGCAAAGATTGCCAACTGGGCGAAATCCATGGCTGGTCAGCGTATGAGCGAGCTTATTTTATGCAGGCTAAGTGGCAAGGTCCTGCAAGGGCGTGGTTTAAAAGGCTCGACGACTACAACCTGGAGTGGAACGAATGGCGACTGGCGTTGGCAAAAGCTTTTCAGAGACAGCACGACTATGCGAGCCTCCTGAAGGAAATGCTGGCGCGGAAAAAGGTGGGTAATGAGTTAATAGCTCATTATTATTACCCGAAGCTCGGGCTGATCGAGAGGTGCCGGATAGTAGGCGCTCAGACTGTTTCATGCCTTATTGATGGGCTTCCCCAAGGCATTCGGGAAAATGCCAGGGCATTTGGAGGCAAGACTGTGGGCGAATTGTACTCTGGGTTTTTGTTTTCTCTTGACAGGTACCAGGACCCAGGACAATGCACTACCCCGAGGTGTTAGAGGCGGGACCCAGTGGCGTACATGCGAGGCCGAGCGCGGTCAGAGCTAGGCTTGGCACTCCGACGTCGATTCGCTGCTACAACTGCCAGCAGTTTGGCGATCACTTGAGGAGAGATTGTCCCAAACCCAAGGCAAAACTATGCTGGCTATGTGAACAGATGGGACATGATGCACATTCCTCGGCGAAAATAATCAAAGGTAATAGCATCTGAAGCGGCATTGGTGAGGTTGATTGATTCGCCCAATGCCTACAAAAAAGCCGCAGTGGCTCAGAATGGGGTTAAGATTAAGGTGTCCATTGACACTGGAAGTAAGCGTAACATTCTGACTCGGGGCTCCGTTGAATCTTTGGGTGAATTAAAGATCTCAGACACTCATCAAGTGTTGAGAGCGTTTGGTAGAGGCGTGGGTATGACGATGGGTGAGACAAAGATACCCATCACCATAGATGACGTCTCCATCGAAGTTAATGCTCTTATTGCCGAGTGCGATCTTTCTGGCGCTGATTTGCTTTTAGCCCAGGTAGCACACTACGTCATATGGACGTCTAAACGACGCCATGAGATTCGGCCACAAGACGTCAGATAGCTGGTCATTTGGACGTCCAAATGACCGCTACATGACAGATCTGCCAGACGTCTGTTTTATGACGTCGGTTAGACGTCTGTTCATTGACGTCACTTAAACGTCGGTTTTAGGTCTGTACATAGTCAGTACAATTACTTCATGCCCATTCAAGGAAAGTCATGGCCCTGCCGAGGGGTTATTACATCCTATTGAGACAGTGGCAATTTCCTTTTATTCGCTGCACATTGACTATATTTGTCTCTTTCCCAAAAGTACAAGACGCAATCAGTATGTGCTCATGGTGGTTGATGCTTTCATTAACTTCACACTTGCGAAGGTGACTGGAACACTGCGGTCTAATGAGGTGATCGAAAAGCTGAGGGAAGCGTTTGGGGACTTTGTATATCCACGGCGAATTATTTCCGACCGTGGTCTGGCTTTTACTAGTAAAGCGTTCACTAGTTTTTTGGTGGAAAAGGGGGTGAAACATGTGCTAAACGCGATTGCTACTCCTATGGCGAATGGTCAGGTGGAGAGACCTTGTTGAATGCAATTGATACAAGTGCAAAGTCGGAGGCGACTTGGGATGAAAGGCTTCCTGAGATTGTATGGGGCATGAATCAGACCGTGAATAAGAGCTCAAAATACTCTTCCTGCTCAGCTCACGTTCATGCACACAACTGGTGTGAATGCAGCATTGAGTGGGAAGGTTCATAACGGTAATGTTCCGAAGTGTTTGGCGAATTTGGATATCCAAGGCAAATCATTTCTGACCGTGATCTGGCGTTTACTAGTAAAGCGTTCACTAGTCGAATGTGAATGAATGGCGAAAATCGCAGAAAGATATCTGACACAACAAAAATTAATCACTTTTAACCCGCTTTTAAAGAGCAGAAAACAAACTTTTCTGAGGTTTATTAGGAAATGGTTTCTATACTGACAAAAAAGTCGGAAAATTAAAATTGTTTCAATTGTGCACCAACTTAATAGGAAATAACTTTCCATTTGAGTCCACGTTATATTGTTGAAAATATGCCCCACAAAACAGTCTCAGTCTCTTCACTGGAGGTTTCAAAACAGCACGACTTTTCTAATCTTGCTAATTCTAACAGATTACACAGCCAAATGACTCTACGTCGAACGTCACTTCTCCGGCCCATGACTTTTCCTTGCATTATTAGCAGCAGAATCGCATATTTGTTAGTTCAGGAGATGAACCCCGGTATTCAAATTTTCTTTTTTGATGGCATACAAATGTATTTGTTCATTCTTCTCAAAACTTGCCCGCTTGCACTACGCAACACATTCATCTTGGGAAATAGACCATTCTGCTATTAAAAAAAAAAAGAAGACTTTTCTTTGATAAAAGCTTTATATATGCATTTAAAACAAGAAAAACCTTAGCCCCTTTTACCGATCAACGTGCCACTGCAAGCATACATAGTCCTTATAGCAAATAATATATCAAACTTCTTAATATTTTAGTCAACAGCCTAAACTCTTCTTAAGATTTTCGGAGAGTTTATTGATGAATTCGAAAGTTTCCAAATAGTCGGATCGCTGAACCTTGTTCATCCCTTTGATGCAAATCGCCAGATCTTTCGTCATGAATCCAGACTCAATCGTGTCTACACAAACCTTCTCCAGAGTATTAGCAAATGCTTCCAGTGGCTTGTTGTTGTCCAGTTTGGCTCGGTGAAGAAGACCTATTAGTACAGGAAAAGCAGGTACTCAAAAAATCATAATTAATACAATTATGCAGAAATAATTAACAATCTGTATAAAAGGGATTATTTTTATAATGGTACCAGCATATAAAAAATAGGAAATCCATCTTACCTCTGGTCCATGCAAAAATAGAAGCTATGGGATTAGTAGATGTTTCTTTGCCCTGCTGATACATCCTGTAATGACGGGTGACCGTTCCATGAGCGGCTTCCGCCTCAACCGTCTTACCGTCCGGGCAGATTAGAACTGACGTCATCAAGCCCAGTGATCCAAAACCTTGAGCTACTGAATCGCTCTAAATAAAGAAAATCCAGTATAATTTTTTTGGCTATGATGACAAACTGTCTTCATATCGCAGGATCGGATTTAAATAAATGTACATTTTGCTAGAGAATCCAAAAACTTAGATCTAACCATAAGTTTAGGACACCCCAGTCCTGTGGAGGTGTTCTCGTTTAATATTTGCAAAGAACTAAATTAGAAATTCGGTAATAATTAATGCCGGTAATAATTAATTAATTAATTAGTGATTCGCACTTACAAGCGACGTTTTGCCCATTTAATGTAACTATACAGGAATGATCGAAATTGGCGTCATTTCTTTTAAGTGTGTGACGATTAAAAATCGATTTTAATTAGTGGTCCACCTGTCTGCTAACTCATTGGCCAATTTAGAGAGTGTAAGGAATACATGTGAATTATTAGGTATCATGTACAGCGTGATACAAAATTGGCGTCATTTCTCTGGAGGTGTTGTCTGTGGGTGTTTTAGGAGCACAAGAAAAATAGTTTTAAAAAATTATTGCTATCAAAAACTGAGAAATTTGCAAAAAAATGTATCAAAAAAGCGGCAACAATGTTTTTCAAGGGAATCTGCCTAATAATTTTTTTGTTTGTGTCCCAATAACTTTATCGTACATTCCTGGCAGCAGTCTGGGCTCACATTTTGAGCAGCTTCTCGTATTAGGCTAATTAACTCCAGCTCAATTTGTACCGGTGTTCGGAAGATCAAAGATTTAATGTCTTCTAGTGTTCTGTGTACATTACATACAAAATAACAATGTTGGGCTTCCTCGAGGGAGTTGCTCCGCGTTCTTCTGGAAAGCTCTGCTTCAATTATCCTCAATGCCTGTGCCTCTAGGTCCGGGACTCGAGCATCTCAAGATCGTCCACTAACTGCGAGAATTCCCCGATCTAATCGTTTAGTGTCTCTAGCCCTTTGCTGGTTCTTACAGCTTCTGCTAAACTAATCGCATATTCGTAAATTCAATGTTTGTGAACAATTTGTGAAAGGAGCTTCAAAATAAGTCACAGTTTGACGAATGCTTGTTATTATTGACAAAGGCTACCTACCTGTAACTATCTGTTAATGACAAAAAACATCATTGCCGCTTTGACTTTTCATAAAAAAACTTGTAGAGGAGTACTTTTTAATATCAAAAATTTTCGTAATTTGATCGGAAGGTCGTATTTTTTCTTTTCGAATGGATAAGTATTCCAATATGCTACCAATTAAACATGGTACCATTTAAAAATAATACTTAATAACAAAGTTCCGAAAAGAGAGACGAAAAATCGATCCAGGAACGTTCGAACCAACGAAGGGCAATCAACACAGAATATCCTCCCCTTAATATTTTAATTTGTTGCTATTAGCTATAGAAAACACGACTAATGCAAATCTAGGTAATATATATATTTCTGAAATCAGGAAAAAAAATCCAATCGACATGCCTAAAAATATATAGGGTGTTTCATTAAAAAGGACTTTGTGAAATTTTGACACTTCCGTGATTTATATTTTTATTTAAAATTCAGATTTAAAAAAATTGAGTTTTGACACTTTTGTGTTGGTCACTTCCACATTTTTTTTAAATAAACGTTTTATGGGATGTGTCAACTTATGTGAAAACACTCTGTACAGTTTACAACATTTCGAGATCTCGATCCATATTTAATATCTTAAAATGTTCTTGAGCATGCGTAAAATCGGCAAACGAACGAATGTGGTAATATTTTCATATCCGTTGCCCGAGCCAACGGATATTTTTTCTGCCAGTTCTGCCAAATGTGTAATGTGTAAATCACAAATTAGGCCATCAAATTTGTTAAAATGCTTCTGAAAAGTTGAATTTAAAATATCCGCCAAAATTTTGGCGATTTGGGCGAATTTTTGCTTCTAACTATGTGACTTTCTTTATCCAAACTTTGCCAATAATGGCCAACTGATAGTTTTCTGCCAGTGCTGCGAAGTTGGGCGATAAATCGTAAATTACAGCGATCAAATTTGTTCAAATGCATCTCAAATGTTGAATTTGCGATATGCTCAAAATGAGCGATAAAAGTCTTCGTCACCATTATGCGATTTGGGCCACTTTTGTTGGTCACTATGCGACTTTCTTTACCTAAACCTTGGCAACAATTCTCCTCTGCTCATCTATGACGGTGACATCACGGAGAATCGGTGGCGATTGACTAAGAAGAATACCGGCTTGCTTTGCATGCATTGCGTTAGTTTCATAATATCAGCTTCAGTATTATCGTTTGGATCTAACGACACTGTTCTATGCTTAACGGCTTCGGCCATGACTAGAGCAGTAATAAAACCGTCTTTAAAAAAAAGTAGGTGTGTATCGACTATCAGCTCTTTCAAAAAATTATAAATTAGTTTAATGTACTCTCTCAATACCTCCAGAGACAACAGCACCAGATTTGAATCACCCCGCATGATTTTTCCACATGAAAATAATGGAAATACGATAGTTTATAAACTTTCTGCAGTTAAAATTTTGTGTATCTTACAAATTTTCCTCAAATATTATTAACAGCAAATGACCAGTGCTTACTGATTAGATAACACGAATTTACATTTGCTGTACTGTCTAAATTCGAAGACTTATATACACCAGGTATATACAATATACATATTTCAGAACCCAGCATTGCTTATATTTTTTGATCTACTACTGTTATATAATAACTATGATTTGGCATTCTTTCAAATGTCGTAATGATGTTTATTACCGCACTAGTGCTTTTTTAAATTTATTACCGAACGAGTGCGGTAATAAATATGTCGATCATTGTCAAAGTTGTGTTAAAATTGCACATTTTTTGTGTTTTTGGAAAGGAATCGATTCTTATCAGGAGCACTATCTACATCTAGAGATAAATAGAAATAACCTTTTGCATTATCTGTAGAAATTACCTTTAATCGAATTTGCTAGCAATATATTTGAAAAATATTATTTTCCACCTCAGTATTTACATGCTCGATAAGAACACTTCTCACGAAAATATCCCATGTTTGTTCTGAAATGATAGTGTTGTGGTCGGATGTGAACCAATCGAGCGATAAGTCAAGTATATCAATTACAAAAATAACGTTTTACATTTTCTTTATAAATGACCTTTAATCGAATTTGCTAGAAACAAATTTGAAAAATATGACTTTCCAACTCAGCATTTACATGCTCGATAAGAACACTTCACACGAAAATATCCCATGTTTGTTCTGAAACGATAGTGTTGTTGTCGGATGTGAACCATTCGAGCGATAGGTCAAATATATTAGATAAAATAAATGTTTACAACTTTTATATAACTTGCCTGCACATCACCATCATAGTTTTTACATGCCCAAACAAAACCTCCTTCAGATTTCATACAATAAGCTACCATATCATCGATTAATCTGTGCTCATACCAAATTCCTTTTGCCTCGTATTGTGGCTTGTACTCTCTGTCATATATGTCCTACGACTCACATAAATGAAAGTCACGTTTAGGAAAATAATATTTGAGTGTACCTGGAAAATGTCCTTAAAACGACCATCGTATCGTTTAAGGATAGTATTTTTAGTACTTAGGTACAAAGGCAACCCTCTATCCAGAGCATATTTAAGAGAAGAATGAGCAAATGCGATGATCGATTCGTCAGTGTTGTACATGGCTGAAATTAACGTGTTTTTTCTATTTCATAATATCGCAATGAATTGTTTAATTTCCTTATCTACAAATGTTGTATAATGACTATGATTTGGCACTCTTTCAAATTTCATAATAATGTTTATTACCGCACTAGAGCTTTTTTCAATTTATTACCGCACTAGTACATCTTCACTTACCGTTTGAAAATAATTAATAATTATAACGGGACCCTTAAATTATACAAACGAACATTATTTGAACGTATTTGCTATCTATGAAAAATGTGATAAAGTTATTCTCTCGTGTCTTCTAGTCGCATCTCTTGAGATAAGCCCAGAAAACATTTTTAAACACTTGAGCAAATTTCGGATTTCATCTAATACTTCCGGAAATATTTATTCAGAATTTTCGCACTTTTAAAACACCATTTTGTTTTGTAATTGTAATTTAAAATGTAAATTTGTAAATGTAAAAATTTCACAATCCTCAATAATGTTGGGCATGCTCTCAGTCAAGTCTGCAATAAATCGTAGGTACATTAATTTATCGATCGCAGCCCGATTCCACGCTCATATCTGGTGACCTTCAACAATTGCCACAATTTATTGGCTAATAAGTGGGAGAAAAGTGCGTAGTGAATTACCGGCATAAGATAGTTTCAGAGAGCCCATTTCAATCGCTAGTTTAAATTTGAATTCTTGAAATTGTCCAATAAAATATTTAAACTTTAAGAATAGTGTCTTATTACAACTCGGTCACTTAAATTTCAAAAATAGATCGTTCTATTGGGTAAAATTTACCTCGTTGGGTAAAATTTGGGTCAGTGTCCACGATTGAACAACTGAAGCTAAATCGTTCAAGGCCTTTTAAAAAGAATATTCAAAATATCAATTTTCTCTTACCTAAAGCAATACCGGCTCCTTTATAATCGTATACCACCTTGGATATTTTATCGCCATTTTTCCCAACCCAAGTCAGTTCCAGTTTTCCAGCTCCTGGTACAACAAAGTCTGTAGCTTTATATTGATCGCCATGAGCATGCCTTCCAATTACAATCGGTTTTTCCCAGCCAGTCACTAATCGTGGCACATTCCCACAGATAATGGCCTCACGAAAAACGGTACCACCTGAAGGTGACTTGGTTAGGTTGGAAATGAAAGTCGATCTATTATTTACCTAATATGTTTCGAATAGTACCATTTGGAGATTTCCACATCTCCTTCAGGTTGAACTCTTCCACTCTCTTTTCGTCGGGCGTAATTGTTGCACATTTTATTCCTACGTTGTACTTCAGAATGGCTTCAGCACTGTCGATGGTGACCTATTTAGTATTCCATTAAAATATAGAAACATATTTGAGCAACTAGTTAGTTATTTCAATAATTTCAACAATTTCCATAATTTAGTGCAAAAGATAATTTTTTGATGGAATAACTGGTTGATTAATGATATCGGCGTTCAATATTATTAGAAGAAGGGCCGAGTATTTACCATCTTCTTGTGCTAATAATATTCGCTGTGTGAAGGATATCAATAGCCAATAAATGACACGAAGATGGTGAAACTTTGAAAACTTTTGAAATCCCGTGTGTGCCTGTGTGATGTTTTTTTTGGCACTGGAGAGTATCCAACTGGCCAGTATCTACTATTTCCCACATAAACTTCACAGAGTACTCCGTACTGAATATATCATAGAGCAATTCCTGAATAACGCCCTGGCGTTAAGGTTCGCATTTCAATTGCAAATTTATTCCATAATCTCTTCAATTTTAAATGCAAGTTTGCACAAAATTGAAATAGTGAGTTTTGAGTAGTGTAAAGACGGGGCTACGTCCGCTGTTTGATCATTTTTTATCAATATTTAAGGGTGATTTAAGAAGACCGTGCATTAGGAGCTTTCCAACTTGCAGTTGTTTAAGAAACTTCAAATTTTGTTGCCGGTTATAACTAAGGGCGAAACGAACGGTCTAGGTTAATCACCCTGTATAATAATATGTACATTATTACATATTTCTACATYCATACAGYAATATAAATAAACTAGCTGATYCGGCTAACGTTGTTTTGCCATATAAATTATTCCYAGGATTATTTTAGTAGCAAAWAATTACTTATTGYRTGGGGATGTGTTATACAGGGTGTCCCGAAATTAGGTGGCCAAACTGAAACTCTCTCATMTCTGCTCTCAATCWGCTCTCAAAAATAATATTAATTTTTCAAATGAACATGTATCGAAAAATGCTCCTTAACGGAGCTACGCCTCCTTGAAGAGGGGCGCAGTAGTARARTTTTTTGCAAATTATTTCTAAACGGTTGAACTTCAAAACGTAAATTTTTGGAACTATATAAATTTTGATAAGCTGAATCTTCGAACTTTCGAACATTTCTCGAATTCTCGAGGCTCCAAAACTGAGTATTATCCTCATTCAACCATAAAAAATTATATTGGCGGCTTAGAATCCAACGGCAAAATTCTGTACGTGCTGGAAAATCGTTGGCTCTTAAATCATGTACCCTTTTATAATGGAAAGGATGCAATCCTTGCTTTTGAGTCATTCTTCCGATATGAAAATATGYTTTAAATTAAATCATGYGTTGTATGACTTCGTGCAATATTTTAYTTGTTTTATCCYTTATTATTTTTTTAATAATCAAAAAAAAYGCACRAAGACATTCACTAGTTTTTTCATACTCGATAAAAGTMAWAATGCTTACAATGGATTTAGGGGTATTAGTAATATTTTTATAAAACAGTGATATTTTTTAAGTCATTTAGTTGGCAAACGGTGSGTCTGAGCGAAGTAAATGAAGAGTACATTTTYTTCGTAAAATACTTCAGAYTTCCAATTTCAATTTGTAGAAAAAAGATTGATTTATAGTATCAGAAAAAAGTTAGAGCTTTTTTTGTACATCGTTCACAGCGATGATGGTAAAAATAACACATATCCTAACATTTATATTTTTAATTCACTGAAATATTTTTTTTTAATTATATGTCGCTAATTATAATAATTTTACTAAATAACAATATCAATCTCTTGAGGCTATAGAGTCTACAATATTTTTTGTAAAACCATCATTAGCTAACACAAACAAACTGGATGGTTTGCCCACTCGAGAGCATGCCACGTATAATTGTCCGTGTGAAAAACATTGTGTGCTCAAATCTAAGCCACAAACAGAGATCGTTTGGCCTTGAGTTTTCTTGATACATCGCAAATGCCAATCTTATTGGAAATTGAAGACTTGATAATTGAATAAATTGAATTGGCACATCTGAGGGTATAATAGAAATCCGTGGTAGTAATATATTTTCACCTCATCGCAAACTGTATCTATTGTTTCACAATTAGAGGTTAGGTTACCTAAATATTTAGGTTACCTAAATAGATAAAGACTTTTACCTATGTAAATTAATGGTAAAATCAATATTTAATTGAATCAATTTAGGAAATCATCGGTGTTAGTAGTAAAAAATTATATATATATACTGCGGTCCAGAAGACTATTAAATAATCGTCCTGGGAATATAATATACTATGTGGCTAAAATTATAACTCCAAATTAGTTAGTAATTTGACACTTGTTTTGTTGACATTGGTGGGACATCAACTTTTGCAGGCTTTTAAAAAAATAGAAACAGATCGAAAAGCGTGTAAGTATT